AACCTATTATTTAAGAAGTGGTCCAGTCCAACCAGTGTGGCTCAATGGTTGAGCATCAACCCATGCACCAAGAGGTTGCCGATTCAATTCCCAGTCAGGGCACATGCCCAGGTTGTGGGCCCGATCCCCAGTGTGGGGCATGCAGGAGGCAGCCAGTCAATATTCTCTCTCATTGCTGTTTCTGTCTCTTCTTCTCCCTTCCTCTCTCTCTAAAATCAATAAAGAAAAAATGAAAAAAAATAAGTGGTCCAAACTAAACAGGATCTTCACGTTCAGTGGTGGGGAATGTCCAGCCCGTGGGCCGTATTAGGCCTGCAAAATCAGTGCCAGCTAACATCACACAATTCACCAAATTAGCCTGACCCAATATATATAGAAGGCTAACTTTTAAGTTGATGATTTTGTACGGCATGCAAATGATATTATAAATATCCAAATGGTCCTTGGCAGAAAAAAAGTTCCCCACCACTGTATAGATCCAAATTGTATACCAAAAAAAATTTTTAAGGCTACTCCAGCAGGTGCTATTGCAAAAATTGACTACAGGTTGACTGCAGAGAGATTAAGCAACTGCCCAGGTTGGTTCACTGAGATTTCCCTTAGAAAACATCTAGGAGGATCCCAAACGCCCCATTTGTCACAGGCAGGGAAGGAGTAGGCTCATTTCATTAAGAAGCTAAAAGTATCCAACGACAAAGTCTCGTCATTCCCCTTCCAGCCTTCTCTGGAAAGCGGCTGCGGGCCTGGGGCTTGGTGGCGTGAGGGAGCCCTTTGCACTCTTCCTGGCCGGTTCTGCCCAGCGGCTCGGCCTCTGCTTCACCGTGCGAGAGGCGTCCTGGCGGAAGGCGAGAGCCAGGGGCGGGCACCTGTTCTCGGGCTGCCCCCTGAGAAGGCTGGAGCACATACCACAACCATAGGCTTTTGTTACTAAATGTTTCGTGTCAGAAAGTGAAAAGGTGGTGGCTTGTGAGCTCACTCCATTCCGGACTCCAGGCGTCCCTAGCCACCTCCACACACGGGTGTTTTTCAGTCATTTGCTTGCTTTTAGTGCTCAACTTCATCCCCTCTTTAGTGGTTTCCCTGTTGCTTTTTAAAATAAACCTCACCTTTCGCTCTGTTCTCTTTCACTAATGCTAACTCCAAAGAGCACAGAGGTCTTGGTAGAAAGCCACCTCCTGCAAATGTTTTATCTCCCACTCCATCGGGGACACTTTAGAAACCACCCGGGAAAAAATCTTTAGCTGCCATGTTCTTAAGACTGCCCATTGCTGTCTAATCAAATGATAAAATGGTGCTGTTATGAGCAATGGGAACTACAGAAAGATGTCAGTGGTAAGGATCATTGGTTTATTTTCTTATTCAGCAGGTAGTTTTTAAGTGTATACCCCTTCCCCAAAGCTTTATCAGAATCTCCTGAGCTGGAAGAGCCTCTGTGGTTGTCAGACACGGGGTCCATCCTCATGGGAAAAGTGGGAACCCCAGAGGCCTGCCTGCAGAAAGAGGGTAAAATTCCCATCAGGCATATTGTATGTCTAGACAACACCACAAGTACAGGCAGCCCAATACCAACCTTCTAACACTGATCTTCAGGTTGTTCCACTGTCCTCGGGGTGTCATCCCCTCCATCCCCACCATCCCCCAAGAAATCTGGTTGCTCCCTTTCCCTAACTGACATCCAGTTCCACATTTAATAGGTCACCAAATCCTGTCCACTTTCTATCCTTAATATCTTCAATCAATCCCCTTCTTACTATCATTTCTGTCCCACCCTAGTTTGTGACACATAAGGGCATGATTCCAAGCACGAGGATAGAAAGTTGATAGAAATGAAATGACACAGCAGGGCCAGTCAGGGGTGAGGCAAGAGAGGCACTGAGGATGAAAATCTAAGGATGCTCTCACTCTCGAGATGGTGCAAATGTCGGGTCAGCTGAGAATAAGTTTATGCCCTAGTCACCTCTCTTGCCTGACTCTAGTTCCAGCCCCATGTTTTCTAAACAGTTGTCAAAATCTGTGTATGTCCATCCCAACATTCTCCCAATACCACAGCATGCTCAACCAGGTGATGTACCTGGGCTCAGATGCTGCCAATTGGTACCTGCATGCTTGGAGGATCTTGCTCATACCTGGAGAGGAAAGAGAAACAATTACATCTCTTGAATTGTAATTTTTATGGAGGTTTTTCCCTCGGTCTTTATATTATCTGATTTCATTCTCTGATTTTATATCAAAACACCAGCATGTTTCTGCCATCAGGGGGTACCCCTGACACTCGGTCAGGTAATCAGTACATGGGACAGCGGTCAACTGCAGTGTGAGAAGCGCAGGTAGAGGAGCGAGGTGATCCATGACGAATGACATCCTCATCGTAAAGAGTGAAGTGAGCCACAGATACTCGTTATCCGTCAAGTCTCCACACCTGCCAAGGATTTGCACTGTAGATAACACTGGAGCAGAATCAAGGTTATCTCCACAACAACATTCTCACATTCTTTCAAATTCTCTAGAGTTCTAAAATGTTTTCTTCAGTAGGGGAGAAAGAGGTGGCTTTCCACCTGGTCTTTCCAGCACTGTTGTTACCTCTGAAACGCTATGTTCACTCATGCAAGGTGCCATTATCACTTAAGTGTATCCCATGAGGGCAAAAAGACCGAGAATGGCGGCCCCGCGTGTTTGAGTGAGTACAGCCAGGAGACCTCTGGGTGGGTGATTTCTTCAAACACTGTCTCTCAAGCACCTCTCGAGTGTGCCTCTTGGAGTCTTTCAGGGATTATCTGTGTGTATTTGGACCTCTGGCGGTTCCTGTGGCTGGGTTCTGGAGTGCTGTCACCGCCTTCTTGTTCACAGATACACAAGTGGTGTGCCATCAGTCCGTGATTAAAAGGACAGTCACCTGTTGTCTTCCTCTTTTTTTCCCCCAGTGGATTGGCTTTTACCTTCCAGCTAAAATCTATCTCAGAAGATACTGGATTTTACTGGTGCTTTTAGGTCACCTCCAGTCATCCTCAGTAACATAGCTGATCACTGGCTCTCCGTACACACACACACACACACACACACACACACCCACACACACACACACTTCAGTTGCCATTTTCCAACTTTTACAACTGCTCTGAACACAAAGAGATGTTCAGACAAGGCCATTCTTTTCTCCTAAATTACTGTAGTTGCCTCCTAGCTAGTCTCTCTGCCTCCAGGCCAAATCCCCTCTATTCTTTGTAAGAATAAAACATACCCTGAGACATTTCAGGTTGTTGGTTATAGACCTCCTTGTCCTCTTGGGTGTTTACTGGTATAGGAAGAGCAGAGTCTTTGGAGCCACATAGATTTGAGTTTAAGCCAGCTCCATCCCTTATGGCCTGTGTAATCATCATCATCTTTGGGCATCAGGATCTTCATCAATTAAAAGGAATAACATGCTCTACCTCCCAGAGTCTTTATGAAAATGAAATAACAAAGCAGTTAGCATAGTGGTTGATACCCAGTAGGGTTTTAACCAAGATTGCCCCTCTCTTCTCTCTTTTGTTAGCTATAGGAAGGGCATTTATAAGGGGTCAGAAAGTACTGTGTCATTTTTCTTCATATGACTTTTCCTTTTGAAACACTGGTAGTCCTAGCATTTTATGAGTTGCTAGTCCCTGTTGAAAACATCTGGGTATCCTGCAAATGGAATTTGCTTAAATTTATTTTCAACATCGTCCTATGGAGGAGTGAAGGGGAAAAAATAACCTTATAAAAGAAAAAAAGAGGTTGTAAGTAAAGTTCAGTTAGCTCTGTCTTTTCTAGTTACTTTGATTCCATTGCAGAGTTGCAATGTAAGACATGGGCGACATTTTTTCCTTGTCAACTTGACTCTTATAAGCTGAATGAACAGCACATAGCACATTTCTCTGTCCTCCCAGAAGTAATTTCTCACTTTAATAAATCTGATGGTTCATTCCAATTATTTTCTCTAATGGAATTTTGCCAAATATTAGATAAATAACATTTCCCACCCACAAGATCATAAGAGAAAACAGAGCCTTCCTGTCATTAGTAAGCCAGTGAGTAAATTCTGCTGATCGCCGAAGAAAAAGGAAAGACGGAACACGAGTGTTTCTTTCTTCCCCTATAACTCTTTTCCTTTTAATCCCTCCCTTTCCTTCCCTACCCCAGTTTTTTAGTGAGGTGTTTGCTGGGTTCACATTAATTTAAATAGTAATGTTTCGGAAGTCAAAGGCATGTTCCTTCCCATGTTAGCACCTTCGAGGCTCAAGCATTTTTATTATTGTTGTTATAATGGGTTGGGTGAGTCCATTTTTATTTAGATGATAATGATGTTGGGGGTCAGAAAAAAGTTTAAGAAGTTCAAGGATAATGACTAGTTGGTGACCAGACAGATTTCCCTTCTCCACCTCCCACTCACAATGCCGTAACATTCAGGCATCTTCTTGGTTATAGACAGCAGTTCTACCATGAATGGGAACAAAAGCTGAATGCCTTACACAGAGCCGCTGCTTGCAGAAAATGTATTGTGACCACTTCAACACATCTCTCTGCAATCGGCCATTCACGAAAATACAACAAAGGCTTCCTTAGATAGACCACAGCGTTAACACAAAATTTGGTTTCAAGAGATTGTACCTGTGTATGGCTCAGAGCGGGCATTGTCCTGCCAGAGAGCATAGGAGTCCTTTCGGGGGGAATTATGATATTCTGCCCTTGCTGCCTGGTGACATGGATCAGCAGCAGCTGATTTGTCCAACCTAGATGTCCATCTCAAGTTCTGTTTTGGAAATGGAGAAGAGAGGACATTGAGGGATGGGGGATTGAAGACTACAGAAATGACCTCAATCTTAGTTTTTTAAGCTAAGTCATGTCTTCTCCAACTCTCCTCGTTGTCAGGGTGTGTAACACACTTCTTTTCCATCTCAGGCCATGTCTCTCAGTGGCTGATCACAATTCCTGTGAGATGCATTCACCTTAAATCTACCCATTTTTTTTGTTTTCTCTTCCAGGTAGCTATAGATTTCACTGCCTCAAACGGGGACCCCAGGAACAGCTGTTCCCTGCACTACATCCACCCTTACCAACCCAACGAGTACCTGAAGGCCCTGGTGGCTGTGGGGGAGATTTGCCAAGACTACGACAGGTAGAGATTTCTGGTCAGCTCGGGCCTTATCATCTCTCTGGGTTCCAATGGTCCCTGGCTGCTCCTTGGGAGAAGAATGAATATTAAGTCTAGCAACTCATCAGGCAGAGGCTCATGCAGGGACAGAATAAAACCTTACCCCAAACCTAGAGAAACTGAGTCCGTGCCATGTTCACCTTAGTCATAAAAAAACAAACAAACAAACAAACAAAAAACGGTTTATTTCTTAAATTTCTTTTCTAATTGGTTTGCAAGACCACTGGATAGCAATTTTGGTTTCCCAAAGTTTTAGTATGTACCTTGCTTCTCAAAGTTTGGTCCATGAACTAGCAGCATCATCTGGGAACTTAGAATCTCAAGCCCCATTCCAGTCCTACTGAATCAGAATGTGCATTTGAACAAGATAGCCAGATGATTTGAGTGCATTTTACAGCTTGAGAAGCACTGGTTTATTGGACATTATTGCATCTAATTCTCATATGAACTCCTATCTAGTAGGTATTACTTAACAGGAAAGGAAAATTGTGCAGGGAGGTTACATAATCTGTGCACTGTCACTCAGCCAGAAGCAGGACTTGAATCCAGATCTATCTCATTCTGTAGCCTAAGCTCACAATCACTGTATTTCACTGACCTCAAAAGATATTGGTAACTTTAGCAGAGGGTATGTGTGTACTCATGCAAGTGTGCGTGTGTGTGTGTGTGTGTGTGTGTGAAAGAGAAACATTATTTTGAGATCAGATGAGTATTATATTTATTTTTACTTGATGGTAAATATTAATGGTAAAATCTTCCCCACTAAGATAATTCCCTGTAAGAAGTGATTTACATAAATAACATTAAACTGAATTTATTCTGTGTTTCCGATATTTGCAGATTGAGATGCAGTTGTCCAAGTGTTTGTTTACGAAGGCTTTTTGAGGTAGAACCAATGTACATAGAAATAGGTAAATCCCAGCTGACTCCCCATTGTGATTATAAAACAAACTTGGTTTAATAATAAGCAGCAACTCACTGACTGAACTTTTAAACCAGGAAAATAATGAAAGCAAATGCTACCCTCCAATTTCAGAGAAAATTTAGGGGATGGCATGATTACTGTTTTTTTCTAGTCTATAGTTGGCGATAACCATATTTTTAAAAAACTATTACCGTAGGCACCATAGAGAAGGACACAACCTAGAAACCAGAATGTGCAGAGAAACCAGCAGGACGGGTAATGGGACAGTTCCCATTAGTGTCCTTCCTTCCTGCTAGCGAGTCTCTGGACCCAGCGTCATCTTGCCAGTAACTCAGATGGCTGTGAGGGCAGCTGGGGGGTGAATGGACAGGGCCCGGAAATCAAAGAGCTTAAAACACCAGGGCTCTTGCTGACATTTCCCCTCCTGACCATTTAGAACAGAGGGCAGCAGCGTTCACGTGACCTCATTGAAGTGCTACTTCTTACATTTTACCTTGAGATGCTGACTGTGAAGATAACTTGAATTTCAGCACTGATTTCCTTAGGCCCAATACAGGGAGGATTCCTAAAGAGGTTTAGAGCATTGGGAGATTTCTACCAAAAAAAGAAAAGCCTGACAAGTGGCCTCTCCATTGTCAGAAACTTCTCTAAACATCCGCAGGACACCAAAGCAGTAATTCTCACCCTCCTTTCTCACACACATACACACACGCACAAACGCACGCACACACGCTCGCACACACACTGTAATCTAGCATAATACTGTGTACGTAAAAGTCAAGCAGGAAGGGAAGAAATATCTTCAGGAATCTTAATAACAAATTATTGAAACGCTTATCAAGGAAGAAAGTGGGTAAGTGCACTTGATACATGCGTCATCCAATAGGTGCTTCGTAACACGCCGACTCTGCCTGGGCAGGGCAAAGGCCGTGCAGAAATGAACTCCACAGAGAAGATTGCTGGGTTGTCGGGAGATACGATGCGCTCGGCCAGGGCCTTCACCGCGGCCCATGGCAGTGTTGCTGGGTGATCTGGAACAAGCCAGCAAATCTCTCTGTTTCCTGACCACCTCGCATGCCAGATGCGGAGACTCTAATTGGAGTGACCCATACGTCTTGCAGAGCTGTTATCCCTTTATAATGTGAGCCAGACAGTCTGGGGAGCATTTTGTATTCCTTCAAAATAACAGATTCGGTACAAAAATAAGATGTGACACCTTAGGGGTTATGTGAAAAATCATGATTCTTTTTAAAACCTTAATGGGATAAATACTGAAGGTTTGGGGCCCCGACTGGCCAAGAAAATCAGGATTCTTCAGCTCAGGGGATGGCGCACATATGCACATAGACGTGGCAGCTCAGCATGAAAATGGACAAATACCTAAGGAAGAAAAGGAGGATTGAAAGCCTGGGCACTCTTTGCAAAGACTCCCTAGCAAACGGTGTAAAGCAAGCTGCTCTCTCGAAAACTGACAAGTGCCGCAGCTTCTCCTTTGTGTGGGTGGAGAGGCAGTAGACAGGCAGAGCCAGGGAATTTCAAGTCTGGGCTTTGGAATTATTTTTTTTTCTCACATCAAAGTCAGCGAGGTTGATGCTTAAAAAGAAACACTTGAATAAAAACTAACAGAAGGCGTCGCTCCCCCTCCCGCAGCACCACCAACATTTTTAATCCCCAGGAGCCTTAGAAATTCCTCCCTGCCTCTGACAGCCGAAGGGTTTCTTTCTGCCTTGTACAGTCATTGCTAACAGGCTGTTACGAGGTGATGCGTGAAGCAGAACCGCTTCAGAGACTGTAAAGCGCTTCTCAGGGTGGCCTTGAGGGGAAGCTCCTTCCAGATATCTGGTCCTCGAGCCCAGAAGGCAATCCTGCCGGCCTGTTCTGTCCCTGCGCCTCTGGAAGACACCGCCACTCATTCTCTCCCCTTTGACCCCACAAGCACATGCGCACACATGCACAGACATGTACAGACACACACAAGCACACACAAGCTCCTATATTCCCAGTTGGTTGTAGCACTTGCCCAGCTCCTGTGAACATCCTGGTCTCCTCAGGCTGCTCAGGGTCAAAGTGATATCCATCCCCGGGGCCCATAGAGATGTGCCTTTGACCACCTGCCATGTCGGCTAATAAGAAGGCTGGTCTATCTGCTGTCAAGAGACTAGAGATACTTGTTGTTTGATGATTTGTTGATGGCGGCCATTCTGACAGGTGTGAGGTGATACCTCACTGTTGCCTGAAACACCAATCAGAAAGAATATATGTACCCCTATGTTTGTAGCAGCACTATTTACAATAGCTAATATCTGGAAACAGCCCAAGTGTCCATCAGTAGACGAATGGATAAAAAAGCAGTGGTACATATACACAATGGAGTACTACGCAGCTGTAAGAAAGAAAGATCTCTTATCCTTTGAGACTACATGGAGGGACCTGGAAAGTATTATCTTAAGTGAAACAAGCCAAACAGAGAAAGACAAGTATCATCTGATCTCACTTATTTGTGGAATATGATGAACATAGTAGTCTGAGGAATGGGATAGTCCCAGAGACGTGGAAGTGGGGTACAGACTGACAATCCCTTAGAGAGGGGGGGGGTGGGGGAGAGATAAACCACAGAACTTATATGCATGTGTGCATGAACAGCGGACATGGACAACAAAGCTGGGGACAGGGCGGGGAGGGGAGGGGGGAATCAGTGGGGGGAAAAGGAGAAACATCTGTAACAAAAATTAATAATAAAAAATAAATTAATTAATTAATAAAAAAAAGAGAGAGAGAGAGACTAGAGATACTAAATGCAGTCCTTGGAAGGACAGGCTGCCATTTTATAGACATGGCTGCCCCAGAATGAGGTAAGGATATCAGAAATCGAGGCAGCAGGCCTCCTCCAGGTGTGCTGGGTGCAGTCCCAGGAGGCCAGGTTAGAACTGAAAGCCAGTCTGACAGGGGTAGAAATCTCAATGCAGGTTAAGATCACGGTGCTGCCTTTTCCATCCTGCCGACACCAGTCAGTGCTCCTCAACCGTGGCTGCACGCTGGGACCACTCGGGAAGATTTAAAATATGCCGATGCCTGCTCCACTCCAGAGACTCTGATTTAGTTAGGTTGGTGTGCATCCTGGTGAATCAAGACTTTTCGTTCTAGTAGATATCCAAGGCTGAGACCCAGAGCTCAGTCAGGAGAGATGCTTTAGATGAAATGGCTAAGAGCCGATGCTGAGCATCTCATGAGGTGCCGTAAAGACAGAGAGAAATTAATGAAGCACAGTTTTCTCCCCAATGGTTCACAATCTCATGGGAGAGAAAGGCACATAGTAAATCACCATCCGGCATGGCAAGGCCAGCTTTGTCCTTTGTAAGGGTGCGGCTGCATGAGGAGGGCAGGGTTAACTCTTTCTTCTCTGGGAAGAGAGAGGGTCACCAGGGCCTCCTGGGGATGGTGAATTCTGCTAATTCTGTGCTTTGTTGTTTTTAGAACATGGATGAACTTACTCCTGTTATTCTGAGTCATTAGACCAGACCAAGCCTCCTAGGAAGGGCAGAGTCAACACGGGTGATAGAAAGAGCATGGGGTCCTGGTGACAGGTGAACTTGAGTCCAGCGCCCAACTCAGCTGCCTCTGTTCTCCTCAGGTTGACATTCCCTGGGCTTTGGTTTCCTTGACTGCAAATTAAAGATCTAACTTCCCTTGCAGAGCACTTGTAAGGATTAGATATTAAGTGTTAGCTAGCACAGAGATGTGAAGTCCAGACTAGGGAATATAGTCAGTAATATTGTAATAACTATGTATGGCACTTGAATTATCATGGGGATGACTCTGTAGATTATATAATTGTCTAACCACTATGCTGTACACCTGAAACTAATATAAAATATTATTGAATGTCAATCGTAATTAGAAAGTAAGATTTAAAACATAAATAAATTTGTTTAGCCAAAAGAAGTGGCTAGCTAGCACTCTTGTTACTCTTCATTCATTTTTTAAAATAAACTATACACAACAGGGAAAAGAACTATTGTGTCAAATATAAAAGTTATTTTGGACCAATGACCTTTTGAAAAAATTAACTCATATACCCCTAAATAGAATTTTATAAAAATACCTTTTTCCATTGAAATCTAATGTTTTCCATCACGAGTTTAAATAGTGACAAAGAATAGAAATTCTAGTGTGTTGTAAGTGTGGACACTTAAAATGAAACTCATATAACTTTGTGAATGCGTCCAGGAGCATCGAAATGCCATAGCTGTTTGATACCCACCATCATCAATTTAAAAAATGCATTAACAAGTATTTCATTTTGAGTTGAGAATCTTGTTGTTTCTTTTTCATGAACTCACATTTCAATTCCCTTCCTCCACAGCATTTCATCATAATGTATCTTTAAAATTTTGGTTGGAAATTCTTTTATTGATTCCTATATTATACATTCCTATCATAAATATGTTAATATAAATTTTTAAATTTCTAAAATTTTCTGTAGTTAAAATATTCAAAGTATTTTAAAAATATCTTCTAGTTGAGTTTTTACTATAATCATTATTAGTGCACAATTCATCAAAAGAACATAAATATATTAGAAATTTTAATATCTATTATTGCCTATAAAAAATAGGGGTTTTGGTGTGTGTGTGTGTGTTTTTTTAATCAGTTTACTGATGTGTAGACAAATGCTCCCTATTACTAGAATGGAAAAGTCTAGCATCAGTTTTAATCCAATTTTTGGTTTTTATCAATGTGAATGCTAAAAAAACTCATTTTTATAAATATGTGGTAATGGAAATAGTTTGACTAGCAGTACTATTCAATTCTGTTATATATCAAAAACCATATAATGGTCTATCAACATGTACTTTTAACCATCTACCAGCTGACATCAGCAGTTCTTACAATATTTTTTTTTTACTGTTGACAGTATTACAGATGTCTTCCATTTTTGCTCCCCTTGCCCCCCTTCACCCAGGTTGGCAACTACCTGACTCCCAAGAGGATTTGTTTCCTAGAATCATTCACGTTTAAAATTGTTCCTGTCGAGTTTTCACACCCTGGAGCAAAGCACACGGTGGTTAAAATTCAGAAGGAGTAAAGGAGGAGGGTAGTGGTGCAAAGGAAGGTGCGAGTGGAGAATAGGTCTTGACATCACGAATGTTCCCAGAGGATCAGTTCCAGCAAAGAATACACAGGGCAGTCAAGAAACGGAATACTCATTTCCTTAAAAGAAAAAAAGAAAAAGTAAAAGCTCTCCTATCTGCAGTAGGGCTTTGCATTTCTGCCTTTCCATGTACCCTAGTTTTAAAACCACTGTTTTAGAGACCAATCTTCATTAAATGTCTATAGGTTCTAAAATGCCATTTTGCTCTGAGTTCACCATCATTTCCTTGTGGATGCAGTAATTTGTTTTTACTTTTATTAACCTCTTGTTTTATCTCAAAACCTTCCTAACAAAAAGGGTAAAAATGGTGGTTGAAAAGGAATCTTCCACGTGGAGATCCTTGGACCCTGGTCATCCCCTGAGAAGTTCAGGACAGCATGCTCGTTAGCATTGAGGACCATAGGCTCTTCTACTTATTTTACACTATTTTATTCCAATGGCAAGAAGTATTGCCTTTACCAATGTGGTGCTATGCCCCTAAATTTTCCATATTTGCAGGTTTCGCCAATCATTTTCCCAATAGTTGCTAAATGGCCCCTTCACTCAGTGCTGAGCAGATCCAATCTTGAGTTCTTTTTTTTTCTTAAGATTTTTTTTATTGCTCTTTTCAGAAAGAGGAAGGGGAAGAGAGAGAGAGAGAGAGAGAGAGAGAGAGAGAGAGAGAGAGAGAGAAACATTTACATAAGTGAAACATTGATCAGCAGCCTCCAGCACGCCCCTCACCAGGGATCAACCCAGCAACCTAGTTGTGCCCCTACCAGGAATGGAACTAGAACCCCCAGTGCAAGGAGAGATGCCCAACCCACTGAGCCACACCAGCCAGAGCTTGAGTCCTTTGAAGTGTTGGCCTGCTGATGTTCAACTTGCCTTTTCTTACCTCTTACATAAGACTCCTCTCTGCCTAGTTTTATTTTTAATCAGGAAGAGCAACGATTTCAATCCATTGTGCGTAGGCTTGAATTTTTTTCTTTAGTGTGTTTATTAGCTAGAGTCTTTGTGGTGGCTAACTTCAGAGAATTGTTGCCCTCCAGGCTCATTAACTATTTATCTTGTAGGTGAGGCATTTTTCCTACCTCCCTACTCTTCCAGCTCAGTTACATAACAGTACATCATGCTCAGCAAACTTCAGGTTCCCATGGTGGCTTAGAAGGTATAAAGGAATATCATTAAGGTCGGAACATTGGTTTGATGATTAGAAATGGATGGAATATTAGATCACACCCCTCTAAACTCATCAAAGAATAAAATGAAGGGTGTGGTATCTCCTGGGTTTCTCTGTTTTGACTTCTGAACCATCTATGAGTTGGAAGAACCAGGACCCATCCTCTATCCAGAAAAGCTTTCCTCCAGACTTAACTAGAAAATACCTCTAAAAAAAACCTGACAGATTTCTTCCCACACCTGGTCAACCTGGTTGTGATTAAGGAGGAATTGCTGAAGCAAAGTATTTCAGTATCTCCAAGGACAAGAAGTAGTTTTCCTCAAAGCTGTAGCTAATCCTTTATATGCTGTTGTGATTTTTTATTTATTGGTATTAATACCTTTTCTAATCCACGCTAGTTGCAATGTACCACAAAGCTCATACCTACAAAACAGTGAGGAAAAGGGGGAGCTCGTGATTTTCTGGAGAATTTAGACTTTGATTTCAAAGAATTCTGGCTTCCTTGCATCTACCAATCCCTACCCCAAATTTGGTCAAATTGACTGTGTTCTGGTCAAGTTTTATCAAAGCTATTATTGGCTACTAATGATCTTTAAATTAGGTAGATGGTGATGGGTGAGAATTTGACTTTGCTACTTTGACTCCCAGACTAAGGGAGGTGGTTCCCTGTGCTCAAGGACAGTGAGCCCTAACCTGGATTTTCTTTTCTCTTTAACTAACTCTGCAGGGGACTGAGAAATGTAGGCATTGTTCCAAAAACAAATCTCAGTTGTGTTTTTAATGGGAGAGAGAGTAAGAGGTAAATGCAATGAGAAGCACATGCCCTCTGATAAGAGCAATATTCCAGAGCCCCTTGGCAACAATCCTCTGACAGCACAAATTAGTTTTATCTGTTGCTTGGGGGGCGGGGGGGGGGGGGGGGCTTGTTGCTGGAAGTGCCAGAAGGGAATCACACTTAATGCTGTAGATAATTGTTACATTATAATGGTATAATAGAGAAAGCATGGGCTTTGGAATCACACAATCCTCCCTGGGAAACGCCTTAGGGTTTCTGAGTCTTTCTTAGTCTTTCTGAGACTCAGGTTATTCATCTGTAAAATGGGAATGATAAGTAGGTGGAACTTCAAGCGTTGCTTGAGAATTAAATACGTGCCTACATTGCCTAGCATAGTGCCTGGCACCTTGTAGGTGCCAATAAATTTCCATTCTTCTCCCCATCCTCTCACCTATATAGTACAGTAAAGTTAGAGTTAAGATGCAACATGTATGAATGAATAAATCGAGGGAAATTTCAAATTGCATAAGAGAAACCAAGCCAAAAGACCTATGTGTGACTCTCATAGGTTTTCCACAAGAATTTTTTTCTTCTTTATGCAGCCACATCTTAACAATTCAATGGATTATCTAGTCATTAAATATTTATTGAGCACACACTCTGTGGCAAGTATCATCCTGAAGGTAGGGGCAAAAGGCAGTTGGAGGGAGGGAGGCAGCAAAAATATAAAGACATTAATACAAAAAGCAGCATTCCTTTGAATTCAAGAGATAAGAAAAGACATATAAACAGTTTCTTGCTGCTTGTATGAGGTAAAGTCATGGATACAGTGAGTTCTGTGGATGAAACCAAGTTCTGTCAATAAGTCAGCCTCCCAAGCTCTCTATTACTTTTTAATATCTCCTTAGATTCAGGCTTGTCTGGATTTGAACCCTGGCTCTAACTAGCAGCATGATCTTGAACAAGTCACTTCACTTCCTGAGGTATTTACCCACTTAAAGAATAGGAATAATAATCTCTCCCTATAAGGATTTAAAAAGACAATATGTATCTAGCACAGTCAACCATAGGAGTTACCTAATTCCTGATCACTTTTCAAAGGAAACAACACACTGGGGTAGGGGAGGTGAGGAACTCCTGGCACCATTTTATCCCTTAATATCAAATCTAGCAAAAAGTGAGGGAAGAAGCTGCGGACTAATAACTGTGACAATCTGGGGATTATTTCCTGGTTTTAATTATTCATGCTATTGCTATCCCCTATCACCACAGATAATCAAGAAACATGAGTCAGCACCTGGCACAGCAACATACCTAGTGAGGTAATGTAGGTTCATGTTTTTCTTCCTCATTAGATGAGAAATAAAGCAACTTCTTTTTCTTTTTATTTCAGTGACAAAATGTTTCCAGCCTTCGGATTCGGTGCCAGGATACCCCCAGAGTACACGGTGAGTGCCTAGACATGCTTTGCTGTCGCCAATGGATACCCTGAGTTCCCTTCCCAGCAGTCTCACTCCTGTAGCCCTTGACAGGATGATGTAAGTAGGACCCAAAGACTCAGAAATGGTCTTCAGAACCAGTGGGATGAGGTCCTCAGAGCCTGTGTTTAAATGAAACCCAATCTCCTGATACACTGAATGGTTCTTTTCAGGGGACCAAACTGAAGCTTTCATTGCTTAGCTTCCTACAGATATAGTCCAAGACAGAGAATACACTCAGGAAGTTGACCTTCAGTGGCTCAGAACCTATCTATTTAGCAGTCCCCTAGAGAAAGATCCTATTGACAAGACAGCTATGGAAGTCCATGACAGTGACGTCTACAGACTCCTTCACCCAGTTGTTTGAGTACCAGTCTTATATGAGAGACACAAAGAAGGTCTAAGGTAGAACCACTCTGGCCTAGAGAATGGAGAAGCTAAAAACTTCCTATGAGGACATTGAAATCCTATTTGGGCTTTGTGTTTGTTTTTTGTTTGGGCTTATGTTTTTTCTCTTTATTTTATTTTATATTTTTTCCATCACAATGTATTCTCTCTATACTCTCTTCCACCTCCCACCACCTCCCTCCCCTTGCAATCACCACACTTATTTTGTTTTAAATTTATTTCCATGACCCAAAGAAGGCAAAGACCGCGGAGAGAGACTGGCACTGCATTGAGGCTGAGGCCCCTACTGTGGTATACCAGATGCTCCTGTGGGACTCCACAGGGAACGCAGCTTCCCAGGTGGGAGGGCCTCGGAGGGGCAGCAGGGTTCCTGTCCAGCCTCACTGAGACCTCTGAGGTCTGAGTGTAGTGTGGGCAGCACTGTCCAGTCATCAACTTCTCTTTTACTGGCCGTGTGAATTGCAGAGCAGGAGACAGATGCCAGCATCTATTCCTGCACCAGGGCTGTTAGACCAAGGCCCTTCACTTCTGTGTCCTTTTTGAGAGAATCCATCGCCCTGTGACTGCTGAGAGAGCAGGGGATGGAGTGGCCTGTCCCCTGACCTGTCCTCCTTGTCTGCCTCGTATTCCACACTGGCCTCCCTGCTGGGCATGCCTCCAGAATTCTAGAAGCATTTGTTGGAAACAACACATGGGGATGGAGAATATTAACAGGAATTGTCAACTGGTGGCCTGTTGACATTATTTGAGCCATAAAAGTATTATAGTTGACACACACTTTTTTTAAAAGATTTAGGCAATTTCGTATAAAGTGTCAGATTTCTGGCTTCTTTGGAAACACTAAAAGGCTTGGCACACTAACGTTGAAAGATTACACAAGAATTAGCCAGAGCTGAGGAGGTGCAGTCCCCTTCAAGAGGGGGCTCAGCTCCAGATCATGGTCAGGTGGGTGCCCACCTTCTGCACAGAGCTGTTGCACCTCGAGACTGGAGTGCATGTCAACAGCCACCAGCCCTGCTGCCCAGAGGTGCCTGAGCGTCCCCCACCGCATCCCCTGCCAGTAGCCTTCTGGTCTCAGCCTGGCCCAGCAGTCAGTCTAGTCCCACCCGGTCCCGTGCTGTCCTCGTCTCATCCACGACATCTGCCTAGTCCCCTCTTGGTGTAACAGATCCTTCCGGGTGTTTTCTGAGGTCCTCATGCTCACCAGATCCCCTGACTTCGTCCTGACTTCCCCCCAATTTATTCTTCCTACTGTTCTAACAGGCTTCCCTCATTTTTCCTCACTCTGCTGCCAAAAAGCCACTCAAATGCCCCTTTTCCAGGCCTCATTGTCCCTCTGCCCCCAACAGGCACTGATGGTCAGCTGCTCGGGTACCCTCAGTGAGTTTGCAAGGTCACCAAAATTTACTTCTTTTGGATAAAAGCTCAGAGTTTGCCTTGTCACTGGGCCACAGGCACCTCTGTCTTAGTTCACATTCTCCCTAGAACAGACCTTGAGACAGGATTCGGATGCACGTAGTTTCTTTGAGAGGCGGGGGAAACCGCAGTAGAGTGGGGGGTGAGGAAGTCGACATAGGGCATCCTAACAGCTCAGTTCCTGCGATGAGCAGCCGATGCAGCCTGCTGGGGCCCCTGGGTGGGTGTGGAGCACTGGGTGCTGAGACACCAACCCGTCCGCACTGAGGAAGGGCTGCTCCCCAGCAGCAGTAACTCCCCAACACCGTCAGCCTGTCACGGGACAGGCAGAAGCAGGCTCTGGACGCCCAAGAAAAACTTAGGTAAATAAAGTAGATGAGATGGTGGGAAGTCAGCTGACTTGCCAGAGGAGCTAAGGGCAGGGGATATGTGCCAGGTGCCAAGAGCATCGGCTCTGACTTCCCACAAACCGAAAAGGGCTCTTTTAACACAGTGACTAGTTTCTAGTCCCCAAGAGAGCCAGGGCCTGGAAAGAACCTTTGAAATGGAAGTCTCTGTAAAATCCCAAATGATCGATAATGTCCAGGTGCCAGGACATCCCTCCTGTTCTGTCAGATTTTTTTTTTTAATTTTTCTTTTATTTATTGATTTTAGAGAGAGAGGAAGGAAGAAGGAGAGATAGAAACATCGATGAGAGAGAACATCGATCGGCTGCCTCCTGCATGCCCCACACTGGGGATTTAGCCCACAACCTGGGCATGTGCCCTGACCGGGAATCAAACCAGCGACCTCTTGGTGTGTGTGTGGGTCATCGCTCAGCCACTGAGCCACACCAGCTGTAAACACGTTATTTGACCTTGTGATAGGTCATGCCAGGTAGAGGAATTTGTGTCGGAATATTACACGATACATGATTTTATCACTTTTCCAAAAGTAGAGTTGATTTTGCCTGTATATACGTGAAGATCCTGCTGTCCGGCCGCTCTGCATAGTGCGTTAGAATGAGTCCTAAATGTCAGCGCTTGGCTGGAGCCTTACAACCATCGCATTGAGCAGACACGGTGAAGAGTTATCACGGTTTTGTCACTGGACCCAAGCACAGCTCAGCCAGATCTAAGCCTCCAGTCTGTGGCCAGTTCTCTCTGGGGTTACATCTTTTTCTGAAATCTTATCTTGGCTTTTTTTTTTTTTTTTAATAGATATGCATTATTCTCCCCTCCTGCCAGCATTTATCTGATTCTAGAAAATTTCCCTGTCCCCTCAACTCCACAGGGAGCTGAGAATTCACCCTCCATCTCAGACTGATTGTGTGAAGGCTTAAAATGGTCCCTGCTGTTTAAGACACAATGAATGTAACGGGCATTTGTTTGCAGACTCTTCAACCCAGTGCCTCCTTCCTGGATTAAAGTTGCAATTCTCCTGTCTTCCTTCTTTCCGTTTTAATTGGTGTCTAGGTCTCTCATGACTTCGCAATCAACTTTAATGAAGACAACCCAGAATGTGCAGGTAAATTAGAACGTAAAAGAAAGCCAGCGTCTCGTGGCCCTTCTGTTTGCACATTTCCCACTTTAGTTTCTCTCCTCTGACGCAGTCTATCAGTTATATTGTCCGCAACAGAGAAGTAGGCTTCTGGGTCCAAGCAGACCATGCTACTTACTCCAAAGGCAACAGAAAGCCATAATGACAGAGCAGAAAACTAAGAGCTGGAAAAGACAGAATGCAGAAGAGGTCTTGAGTTTATAGCAGAATGTCCATCCCCATTCTGGATTCCTTGACCAAAAAAAAATGGGGTTGGGGGAGGAAATCACTTGATGGGCAGTAATGATACCCCTCTTTCTGCTCTCCAACTTTTCCTCAAGTATTTACTTTCCACAACGTCCTCTCTGTGAAGGTGTAAGTAGGAGGTGGGGGGAGTACATTTTCAGCATGTGAGCAAAGGATACAGCCTCGGTGACTTCCAACAAGGAGCTTCATGGTTTTGCGCCAGAAGAAAAAGCCTTCTCAAAGGCTTTGGTGCATCCATTGTATCCAGCTAGAAGTACCCCAGCACAATTCCACAAAATGATGATAACTATGGTGATAAACTTTATCCTAAAATTATTTTTTCTGCTTTCTAAATAACAAATAGAGCCGAATACACTGGTTGCTATGAAGCTTGTAAGATATTTTTATAGTGAAATAGATAGAAATGTCCACAGCTCTCTCCTCCTCCTTGTCAAGGAGGAGGGGGCTGAACCAGGATCCATTCAGATCCAGTGAGGCATGTGAAGTATCCAGCAGTTTCTTTCACCAATTTGACACTTAATGTCCAATATATGATGTCAATAGCATTGGGTCTGCACACCGTAACCTCTGAGACCTGATCTTCATTCTGCCATTATTTCCTCTCATGATCCCTCACCCTAAATTTATTATGCTTTAGAGTTCACTGATTCCTAACCACCCTCATTCTTAAACCGTTAGAATGTTTTTTGCCAAAGTGGAACAAAATACATGCCCGGCATTGACCTGTTTCACACTCTTAGAATTCATCTACCTGTTACTTTGAAAAAGAAATCTAGCTTGCTTCTCTTAGGCAAAAACTTAAGACCCAAAGTAGGTAAAGGGCTTCTGTTGAATGTCCCTCACTTCACAACCAAGATGCAAAATGATATGACATCTGTCTTTAGAATGACAGGCTTTGGGACAGGGCAAAGGGGATGCAGAATCTTCAATGGGTCTAGAAGCACATGTATAAGGGCAGAACACACAGAACTTGCTTACCCAAAGTACCCAAGGTCTGGTGTGCAATGCTCGGTGGATGCGGAAAAGCATTTCAGGAGGGGCATCTGTGGATCCCTCTAGCCAAAAAGAGGACCAGTGTGCTATTTCAGGATAGAAAGGATTAGGAGGATGAGCTAAAACAGGGAAAGGCAAGAGCCATCTGAATAAAATTCATGAGTATAACGTCAAACGTGCAGTCAATACTCACGAAATGCTAGGAGAAACGACACAAGCAAGGCTGTCCCTTGGAGCGGAGTTCCACCCTCCACTCATGCGGTCTCAGGATGGAAACCTCCTTCAAATGAGAGGTTGGCCGGAATGATGACCATCACTCATCTGTACTACAGTCCCCAGCAAATGATCATGTCAGCCATTTTGCTCATTCATCACACCCTCCGTGTGCCCGGCCTGCCACAGATCTTTGAGGGAGTAAGTTAAAATCCCTACCCATGAGGACTTTAACATCTGGAATGGTGGTGGTGTGCACATACACGTAACTCTTATAAATGGACTAGGGTGGTATTCACTATAGTAGAGTCAACAAGATGGTGAGAAACTAGAGAAGCATTAAAGCTGACTTGCCAAATGGCTGAGAACATAGTCATCAGAGCTGAACAGACCTGGGTTTGAGTCCTGAGTCCGCAAGTCATTTGCTGTGTGACCTGGGTCAGATGATGTAACCTCTCTAAGCCTCAGTTTCTTCACCTGCAAAATGGGTATAACATCTATTTCATTCCACTATGAGAATCTAAATGAAACCGTATGTGTAAAGTGGGATATTAGGGGAAAGTGTGTGGAAAGGATTGCTTTCGATTTAAGTGTGTTAAAGAGAATGATTTCAGTGGGGTAGAGGCAGCAGTGTGGTGTTTTTCTAAGACCATAAATGTGGTAAGAAGGACATTTAGGGAATGTGATGCTTCATCTGTGTGTGTGAGTTGATTACGAATGTGTCTGAGAGGACTACTGAACTGCTGATCTTTGCCTGTGTCGCCTCAGGAATCCAAGGGGTTGTGGAAGCCTATCAGAGCTGCCTTCCTAAGCTCCAGCTCTATGGCCCCACCAACATCGCCCCCATCATTCAGAAGGTCGCCAAGTCAGCATCCGAGGAGACGAACACCAAGGAGGCGTCGGTAAGGAGAGGGGCAGTTTGCCTGCCAAGGGGAGGTTACCCTTTCTCCCCTGAACATTGACCACAGCACCCATCCCATTCTGACAACAAATTACAGCATTTCTACCTGCTGAGTTTGGGCAAGTGACTTAACCTTCTACCCTCCGTCTCCTCATCTGAAAATCGGGGATAATCATCCCCGTTTCTGCTGGGTTATTGTGAGACATAGAAGTGACACATCTCAGATGTCTGCAACCTTAGCTGGACAGAGGGGACACTCAGCAACGGCATTTACTTTATTCGCTGGAGTATAAGGCATACCCACAAGTTCCTAGGAAGAAAACAAAACAGTCCGAAATCAGCTTGCTTTCCAGTGTACCCATGTTACAGATGGAAGTGAAGCAAAATAATAGATGCTCTGCCCCCTGGTGGTCAAGCGCAGTAACACAAAACATCATAGCAAAGGTTTGTTCTCTATTCTCTCTGGTTTTCTTAAACATGCAAACCAATGTTTTACGTACTCACAACTATAAAGCTACTTTTGTCCACCCCTGTATATTATCATAACAACTTTTCTATGAATCATTTTTTAAAGCTTTATTTATTTATTTATTTTCCTTTATTGATTTTAGAGAGAAAGGGAGAGAGAGAGAGAGAGAAACATCGATGAGAGAGAACATCGATTGGCCACCTTCTGCATGCCCCCCGCTGGGGATCGGGCCCACAACCTGGGCATGTGCCCAGACCAGGAATCGAACTGGCGACCTCTTGGTGCATGGGTCAATGCTCAATCACTGAAGCCACACCGGCTGGACTCCATGAATCCTTTTTAATGACATCAATGTATTTCTTTTTTTTTTTTTTTTTTAATCCTCACCTGAGGATATTTTTCCATTTTTTATACAGATAGAGTGGAAGGGAAAGAGAGGAAGGGAGAGAGAGAGAGAGAGAAACATTGACGTGAAGGGACACATCGAGTGGCTGCCACCCGCACAACCAACCAGGGCCAGGGACAAACTGCAACCGAAGTACGTGCCCTTAGCGGGAACCGAACCCGGGTCTCTCCAGACCACAGGCCGACGCTCTAACCACTGAGCCAAACTGGCCAGGGCCAATGTATTTCTTTTTTAGCTTTATGACTTCTTTCAGATTTTGTAGAACACTGCGGGTGTCTGAAATTTTCTCTGTGAGTTTTGTCCTGGGTTTCAAGATGATGCATTTGCATAAAGAAAATATACTGTTCTCTCATCTTCTTACATCAGCTTATCTAACCTACTTGCGTTGTATCATGTTCCAGCCTTCCCTCATGATGGAATGGAGGGAGGACCCCACATATCCAGTCCCAGCCTCTTATCTCGTGTCCTGGAGCCCACCTCCTCTCAGTGATCCGAGGACATTGCCCTAGAAGCTAGAGTCTCATAGTCTCTCTCTCATCTACTTTATCCCTTTCTACTGGACTCGTTTTCATTAGCAAATAAAACATCCTTCATATCTTCTGTTTAAGTTCAAATCTCTCCCTTGACACCACTTTATCCTAGCTACTGTCCCTTATTTTACCTCCCTTTAGAGCAAAATTCATTTAAAAAGTTGCCTACACTCACTGAGAGATGAAGCTGAGACCCAGAGGAATTAAGGGATTTCCCCAGGATCTCAGAAAATGAGGCTTTGACACCAGTCCCCCTGACTCCTCCCTGCTGCTCTGTCGACCCCTCTGTGCTTCATAGCAGTCACTGAGTTGGTTACTAGAATCACTGTGCCTGCCTTGAGTTCCATCTGTCATAACCTTAAGTGTCGAGGGCTGTCTGCACAGACACTCACAAAGCAATCTGTTGTCACTGTTGCTATAGCCACTATGCGCTGAAGCCACTCAGGGGTGTAACTGGTACTTCCTTGTCTCCCCCACTCTGTCCCCACCGCTGCCTGGCGTCTGCTCCATTGCAGCAATACTTCATCCTGCTGATCCTGACTGACGGTGTCATCACAGACATGGCTGACACCCGGGAGGCCATCGTCCATGCCTCCCACCTCCCCATGTCGGTCATCATCGTGGGAGTGGGCAACGCTGACTTCAGTGACATGCAGATGCTGGACGGTGATGACGGGATTCTGAGGTCACCCAAGGGAGAGCCTGTCCTTCGAGACATCGTTCAGTTCGTGCCCTTCAGGAACTTCAAACATGTACGCATATCTCGGGGGCTTCCCGTGGGAGGGCAGGACCAAAACAAACTCGCTCCCTACATGTTCCCACTAGTGTGTAGTGGAGTGACGTCAGCTACGCCTGCCTGGGCCAGGACGCCTCCCACACAGGACATGCAGAGCTTGGCTCTTCGGTGATAAAAGTGTAACTTGAATTAGAGATGAGAAGTCCCCATCCACACAGCTTAGGGCCTCGGTGCCCTCAGGGAGTTCGGGCAGGTGGGCTCATTGTCCCCTGCAGGAGGCCTGGCCGGAGAAGCAAGGAGCAGTTTAAATTCAGCCTGGGTTCTGCCTGTCCAGCCATGTGCCCTGGCAGAGGCCCATGTTTGCCTTGGCAAAGTCTATTTTCAAAACGTTGAAACCTAAATCCTCTATAAATGTAAGCAGCATCGAAGAATTTATTTATCTCATTAAGCAGGGAACCAGTGAGGTGACAAAGGTAGTTCAAAGGAGGATCTAAAACAGCTGATGATGGTCCATGGGGAAAAGGTTCAAAGCTAGGTGGTGGTCAACAGGGTTAAAAATTAATAAACAGACTTTGAATGACCTTCTCTACTGGACAGAAAGTGTCTCCATTTTCTACAAGTTAACATCTAGCTTTCCAGTCTTGAGCTCTGATCAACAGTAAATAATCCTTCAAGCAGCGTTACCTTCCCCAGAAGCCCCCAAAGCAGGTGCGTGAGACAGTGCTGTCGTTTGACACAGAAAGTGCTCGATAACAATTCTTCTGCCTTCCCAATTGTTGGATGATTATTAACTCTCGGAAGAAGGGGCCCCTTTAAAACCCCAACAACAGCCTGTGCTTAGGGGCTGCAGCTGCCCAGAAGGATGCTTCTGATTCATACAAAGGCTCCCGCGGGGCGGTGGTGGCCCTGCAGACCCCTTCAGCACCTCCCCAGCTGTGTCTGGAGTCCTTGAGGGTGATGTGGGCTGTCACAGACGGTCCTCTGTGACCTTTTGTTTCTTGCCCCTAGAGAAAGTCACTGGAGCAGAGTGTCCCGCCCCCTGGCGCCCCCTGACGCCCCCTGTGGCCTTGCTGGGGCCAGCTGCGCTCCCAGTGGGTGGTAACTAAATGCGAGCTGCCCCCGCAGGAGGGAATCTCCAGGGTGCTCGGTGCCCTGAAGCAACTCTGCAGTCCCCTTGGCAAGGATGAGAATCCCCTCCTATGCCTGCTGCAGGGACCCCTCTGTCACCTGGACCGTCCATGCAGTGACATCTCACCCCCACATCTCAAGGACCCTGCTGGAAGCATCTTCTTGAGCTTCCACTGCAGCTCCCCGGTCCTCGGGGCTGAGGTCAGTGATTTAGGGCCCCAGAGAGGAAGGGACGGGCACTGTCCCTCCTGATGCTTTTTGGAAAAGCCTTTTGACTCCAGCCAAAAACCCTCATTCAGATGAGCCTTGGCAGCATCCTAGCCAGTTCACTGGATATGTCCAGACACAAGCAATCCCACTCTGAGCCCACGCTGGGACCCCAGCTACGCTGGGTAAGGTAAATATAGGGGGCGGAAGGGTGGCTGGACCATTGTTGATACAGACCAGTCCCAGTGCCAGCGCCGGAGCCTCTGGCCTGTGCTTTTCAAAAATTGTCATTTGTCCTGCTGCCCTTCTTGGGACAGGCTTTAAAGCCAGCATTCAGGTAAGTCACAAGCCCAGTGGCCTCCACCAAACCCTAGACCACATGAATTGGCAGGACCACATACGGAGGTCACTGTGCACGCCCGGGTTCCTGGAACGATGAGCTATAGCCCAGAAGTCCAGCGCCACACCATCCTGAGGTCATGCGGAGGGCTACAGGGTGATGAGAATCACGAAAGGAGCCGAAAGTCCATCGTGACCTACGAGTTGAGTGCACACGGGGTTCCAAGTAGCAGCAGCAACACCCAGCCCCCCACAAGCTCACAGGCAGGGAGCACCACCATAGCCCATCTTCCACGTGCTCAAGGAGGGTTTCCAAATGAACCACTCATTAGATGAAGAGGCTCGCCATGTCCTCAGGTTGTCCGCACGTGGACAGCGAGGAGTGGGGTCCTCTTCAGGGAAGGATGTGTTGCGGCAGGCTGAATGCACTACAGTTGTGTTCATCAACGAAGCTACTTACCTGCCTGATGCCCCAGGTGGGAGGAGGGTGTTCTTCTGGGTTGTAATGTCCCGTTCCATTTTGTCAGCCAGACAGAAGTACCATATCACTGACACCACCTATAACTCTGCCTGCGTTATCCCTAGGACATTCATGCACTTCCCCGAACCACCCTCTCCCTGCCCCGTACACAACGCACGCACACACACACACACACACACACCGGTGTGCTGAAACCATACAACTGAGCCCTTCAAGGTTCCAGCCTCTACCCCAGGCCCCCTCCTCTTGGAGTGGCTGCTGTGTGCAAGGCATGTGCTAGCCCTGGGATCAGAGCACACTGGTGAAGCCAATGATCCAGGCCTCAAGGAACTTACTGGGGAGTTGCATGGTTGGGGCACAGGTGTCAGCAGAAAAATCTGTGGGTGGTTGAAAAGGGCTAAAATGTTGCTACAAGACTTCAGGGCAGAGAAAAATCGCCCTGCGGAAAGCCTGGTATATGAGGCAGGACAGAGCCTTGGTAAGCAGGGAGTTGGGGGACATCACCAACCAGGGAAGCACCCCGTTCACGTCTGGGCTGCGCGATGACTAACGCAGACCGCCAGGAGCCTACCAGCCCCCTCGTCTCCGTGGATTTCAAATTAGATTTTGAAAACCATTTCATTATCCGGACTACACTGAACTCAATAAGCCATAAATAAAGTGAAGAGTGAGGAACCGATACATTTCCTATGAGCCTGTAACCTAGACTCTGAGCCGTGAAGTGGGCAGGGCACAGGCTGTGGGCCACGTGACTGCACCACAGCCTTCCACCTGTGAGACAGGCGAGTGACTCACATCCTGGAAGATGAAAGGTCGTCAGGCTTAGCACAGTGCCTGATGATGAACAAATACAGCTCTTACTCCCAGCTGCTTTCACATTTTTGGTCTTGTCCTAACCCACACACGCCCTCCCCAATCCCTGTTTGCTCACCAGATCCACCGGCACAGGTAAGCAAAAGAGCAGGAGAATCGCTTAGGAACGGTGCTGTCCCATGCAAATCTAAATTCATTAAAATTAAGTTAAATTAAAAATTTAGCCCTTCAGTCACACTAGCGACATTTTAAGGGTTCATTAATTGCATGTGTCCAGTAGCCACCACACTGGACAGCACAGATAGAGAATATTTGCGTCACTGTAGCGAGTTCTATTTGACAGCACTATTTAGCAACGTTTTTGTCTCCAAATAACAGCAAATCCATTTTGCAGTGGATTACATGAATGGTTCTTATCCAAGGGTGACTTTGTTCCCCAGGGGTCATTTGGAAATGTCTGGAGACATTTTCAATGGTGACAGTGTGGAATATCTCATTCACACCGAGTGCATAGAGGCCAGGGATGCTGGTAAACATCCTACAACGCACAGGACAGTCCCCCACACAAAAATTATCTGGCCCAAAATAGCAATAGTGCTAAAGTTGAGAAGCCCTGGGTTACATAAGTACAAATGTATTTTCCCTGTGTAGCTAGAATTTAGGAGCTGGAGGCCGCTGACATCTGTTTTTTGTGTTTTTTTTGTTTTTTTCCAGTAATTCAGTAGCACCTGGGGATTTCCTTTGCTCTTCCCTCATAATGATGAAATGGTTGCCATTGCTCAGGAATCACATTCCAGTTCAAGGAGAAGAGGAAATGGAAACAGAGCCCACCATGTCTGTCCCCTCTAACCACGAAAGAAAACCTTTCCAAGAAACATCCTCCAGGAAACTTGCATTTATGTCTCAAGGATGCATAGGGTCACAGGGATCCACCTAGATAGAAGGAAGGCTAAGAAATCACGTATTTGGCCTGTAACCTTTATATGAGAGGTGGCCAGAGAGAAAGGGTGGAAATGGCTTTTTATATTCCCCAGTGGACTCATGGATCATGATCTAATGCACAACTGTGACCAGTTATTTTTTAAAAAGAGCATTCATGGGTGTCAAATGTCTAACATGCTATAACATCTCCAAAATGTGAGGTATCGTTTTATAAAACTCTTCACAGTGTTTTCAGATTGCTGTTAAGATCTGTCTCCTACTTTGAGCCTCCTAAAAACTGTGAGATAGAATGAATTCTTATTCTTTCCTATTTTGTCTCTGACAACACCAGGGCTTAGCAAAGCAATAGCTGAGTGACAATCCACATGGGAAGGAAAGAGCTAGAAACCGGGTCGTCTGGCATTTAGTTCACGCCCCTGCCTTCAGGATGTTTCCTGAGGAATCCCCAACACTTGTTAACTGGTCTCTCTGCTTCAGTGTCTTCAGAACTTGTGATGGGGTTTGAGCAATTTTGCTCGCCTAGGGTCGAGCAGTTAGTACTGAATACTAGAGTCCATGCAGAATGTCAGCCTCCACCTTCATCTGCCTCAGATAGACTTGATTTGGGGCTTCATTAGTCAGCATGGTGGTCTTCAATATGCTCCATCACCAGGCCTCAAACTTATTTTCCAACTGAATGCCCCACCAATCCTATATTTGCAACACACACACATACACACACACGTGCACACGCGTGCAGGCACTCAGTCTTCAGCCCCATCAGATGACTCACTGTCATTAAAATGATCCAATGCCAATCCCCTCCTTCTCCACATTTTAAAACATACCCAACTTAAATGGCACCTCTTCTTGGAAGCCTGCTCTGATTTCTTCCAAGATGACTTAGTCTCTTTGATTTCTGTGCTCTGGTCACAAAGGGTTTGTGACTCTGGAGCAGTGCTTCTCAAATTTCAGATGCACAGGAATCAAGAGCACCAAGTTAGAATGCAGATTCTGATTCAGTAGCCCCAGGATGGGTCTCAGATTCCACATTTCTAATAAGCTCCCATGTGATGTGATGCTGTTGGTTTGAGGCATCTCGTGTTTTACCTTAAAGTAGGGTTAATTTTGGCCACACCAGGCTCCTCTCACATGGTTATAACTTCCCTAATAGCAAGAATCATAGACCCCATAAATCTTAACACAGTGCCTGGAACATAAGTGTCTGGAATTGAATATAAATCAGAAACAACAACTGCAACACAGTTCATTCTGCCGTACAACTTTCACCCATAATTCATCGGTGAATCGTTTTATATTTTGAGACAGGCATGCAATAATATAATTAAGAAATGAATGGTTCACGTTCCAACAACCTGACCGCTCTTGCTTGGAGGACCTTGTCAGATACTGAATAAATGGATGAGTGGATGAGTGAATGAATGAATGAATGAATGAATGAATGAATGAATAAATGATGAGAAAGACTAGCTACTCAGAAGAGGACTCAAGCCTTTTAGGCTGATTCTCAATCAGATTCCTCTGGCCAGGTGCCAAAGTCATGGTGATTTCTTCTTCCCTGCAGGCATCTCCAGCTGCCCTGGCAAAGAGCGTGTTGGCTGAAGTCCCAAATCAAGTCGTGGACTATTACAATGGCAAAGGGATTAAGCCAAAATGTTCATCAGAAATGTATGAGTCTTCCAGGACACTAGCGCCATGATCTCCACACACTTTTACAGAGTTCCGAAATACTATTCCTGCTCATGTTTAATACTTCTACTACTCCTGTACTTTAAAAAACCACACATACACATTTAAAAATAGCACGTTTTGGTGATTTTTAATGACTGACAGTTTTTTTTGCATGTGTAGCCCTGAGGCCTGGATCTGGTAAGCCCTCATATTGTTAAAGACTTTTTACAAAGAAACACAAATACTTATAACGTACTCTTTACATTACAGCATGTCGCCTTGAACTAAAATGGTATCTGTATCCGTTTTTTATACAGGTTTGTTGAAATTTTGCTAAATTTCTTATTATCTTTACACTGTAAAGCATTTTGAAACATTTACCGAACGTCGATAGCCAAAACATATTTGGTTTATCTGCTACAGGATGAAAGACTTTTCAAAATGGTAGATGCATGGACTGTATTTTGCATGTTTAAAATAAAAAAAAAAGAAGAAGAAAAAACAACACCCACACTGTTTTTGCAGTTGTATCTATAATTCATCCCTGCTGAGAATGGTCTCTCTGCTGAGGGGGAGGTTTAGCCACCTAGAAATAGTCTTCTTGACATGGGTCTGGGGCTGTCAACCCAGCACCTATCATCAGACTAAACTGCGCACACAGATCACCTGAGGATCTTGTCAAAATTCAGACCATGATGCTAGGTCTTCATGGGCCCAAGACTCTGCAGCTCTGACAAGGTCCCAGGGGATGCCAGTGCAGTCCTCAGACCACACTAAGAGTACTGGGGTTTGAGACTTTAGGGTGTGATCATAGAGACCATTCGAAACAGGGCAGAACCTAGTCTGCTTGAGAATGGCACCTCTTCTCTGCCCGGAGCACAAGGTCCTGCCTGTCTCCGAGGTGGGAGTAGAAAGTAGGGAGACTGATTCCAGAAGCTGCACACCCCACATCAGTCTCACTGCTTTATAGTCACACCTCTTACTTAAACAGATGAGGGCGTGCTTCCCTGGCCGGCCCCTGCCCTTGTAAAGGAGACATCACACAGCTTGCATGAATGAGTCCATGTTTACGTCAACCCCTAGGAATGATCTCACGAAGTCTTCAGTAGGACAACCACAGTGGAGACTTGTCCGTGGCAAATGGCCATGCAGTGTGGCTCCCCAGAAATGTGTCCCACCGGGTTAATTTTTAAGCCAAGTGAGGGGCTTCTCTTTGCCTCTTTTATCACACCTGAGAGCAAACTCTATCAGCAGAAATGCCTAGAATCATCATTGTTTTAGGTGGAGGTGTTTTGTTTTTATATAAACTGGCCAGTTGAACTGGAAGAATGATTGATTCATTTGTGTAATCTTATCACAGAGAAATGGACAAGTGTTTTGCAGCATAAAAAACACAAGATGGTCAGAGGGATGGGGAGGTAAATCATGAGGTAAAATAGATCTGCTTGTTGTTTGTTGGAGGGGGAACATATTAACAAGCAAATCAAATAGGCCTTGTATAATTTCCAGTGTTATAATTATAGATTCTAACCTTGCAAATACATGTCAGCCAAATGCACAACATTTTGGGAATGATGGGGGAAATGTATGACTGAGAAAAATCATAAATATTTAAACTGTATTGTTTTATGAATAAATTGGGTACTTACAGAAAATTTTCTAAGCGTTATGGTCTTGTTTCTCTTTTCAAGGCAATTTTCTAGCTGTGATTTATTTCTTGTAGGTAACATGGCCTCAAATTAGGACTAGCTCTTTCCTAGTTCCATACAAACACGGATCATTGTTTTGAACAAACAAGGCATTAAAATATTTAGGTTCTGTCCTAAAGAAATATCTGATGGTTGTTTCTAGCCCCAAACCAGGACATGAGTTTCTTTGTCTGTGTGCCTGGAACATAGTGAGCACTCAATAGATATTTAATGAATAAAGAGATGACTAACAGAATGAATGAATGAATGAATGAATGAATGAATGAATGAATGAATGATGAATAAATGAACAGACTTGTTAATGTGCCTCATGAGTGATCTCAAATCCATCGCAATTTTAACAGGTAGATTAAGTGGCTGTGGCTGGCAATCAAAATGATGCACCATGTCATCCTCAAATATCTGTTGAGATCTATTACAGTCATGTCAGGACTCCTGGGATCTAAGAGATGGAGTGACAAGGACAGAGTTCAGTTTGCCTGGCAGAACCTTATAACAGTTTACCTCCCTTTTCATAGCCAGACAAATCCCAGCTCAAAAGAATAGTAAAAATGGTCGCTAACAATTACTGAGGACTTACTGTATGCTAGCCACTGTTGTAAGTGCTTGTCATTTACTATCTCAGTGAATTCTCCCAACAGCTCTAAAAGGTAAGTAGTAGTATTAGTCTCATTTTGCAGATAAGGAAACTAAGACCCAGAGAGGTCAGGTAACTAACTTAAGGTCACACAGCTGTCAAAAGGCATAGACAAGATTTAAACACAGACGCTTTGGCTCCTGAGTCCAAACTCATTTTGCATAACCCCCATTTCAGCCACCTTCCTGGCACTACACCATCCACTGCTGTACCAAGTGGCAGATTCTTGAGATTTGAGAGAATGTGCCTTAAAACATGACCTTTGCCTCCATTTCAGAAATTTCTTCTCATCTGGTGATGTCAGCTTTTTGTCGTGGGTTCTTGGCATCTTGTGATGTACAACATCCCCCTGGGAGCAGTGGAAGAGTCTCAAGATACAACTAGGTCTTCCAAGCTTCTTGCCTCCAAGAAAACCATGTAGATTGGACATGACAAACACAGATGCTCCTGGGAGCTGAGCAAGCCATGTAGACAACTAAAGAGGAACAGGTTCAAACAAGGGGGCATAAAGAGTAGAGTGTGGTGAGGACAGAGGGAAACTGGAAGGCATGAGTCCAAAAGGGGGCAGCTACCCCCGCCCCCCTGCCCCCGGCTCCAGCGGCCATGCATGGGTGCGGACTCAATGCAGCCAGTTCATCAAGATAATTGAATAATCTGATATTGGACACACAACCCACCAGGTTGTCAATGTGGAAAACTCATTCAAAATTAAACAATTGTAGACACTACAAAATAAAAACTACCTCTGGGATTACGTTGGCTCTAGAGTGCAGATTTAGAACCACTGACCTGCACCCATGACCGGCCCTCCTCTGGGCTTCTAGACACTAGAGACTCCAAGTTCTTGAGGACACCAAAAAGATTTATTTTTGAGAATATGTCTAGCGATCCTTGTTGTGGTTAGAAAGGGAAACTGCAGCCCCGGCCAGTTTGGCTCAGTGGTTGAGCGTTGGCTTGCGGGCCAGAGAGTCTGGGGTTCGGTTCCCACTAGGGGCACGTACCACAAAAAAAGGAAATCGAAACTGCAAATGTAATATATTACCAATTCATTCAAACAACGGTAAATCCATTGCATGTTAACATAAATGAAATATTTGTATTAAAAAACCTATATTTTTACACCCGAAACCTATATAATCCTATTAACCAATGTTGCCCCAATAGATTTAATTTAAAAATAAATTTATATATATATATAAATATATATATTTATCCTCACCCAAGGACATTTTTGCATTTGTCTTCAGATAGAGCAGGAGGGAGAGAGGGAGGAAGAGAGAGAGGAACACCGATGCGAGAGAGACACATCGACTGGTTGCCACCCACACAACCTCAGCCAAGGCCGGGGACAAACTGCAACTGAGGTACGTGCCCTTAGCGGGAACCAAACCCTGGACTCTCTAGTCTGCGGGCCAACGCTCTAACCGCTGAGCCAAACCGGCCAGGGCTTAAAAAACAGATTTTAAAATAAATAAATAAATAAATAAATAATAAAAACTGTATTTTGTAAAATATTTTTGTTATTGATTTTAGAGAAGAAGGGAGAGAGAGATAGAAACATCGATGAGAGAGAACATCGATTGGCTGCCTCCTGCATGCCCCACACTGAGGATTTGGCCCACAACCTGGGCATGTGCCCTGACTGGGAATCAAACTGGCGACCTCTTGGTGCGTGGGTCGACGTTCAACCACTGAGCCACACCAGTCGGGCAAAACCATATTTTCAAAACCAAAAAAATAGTGAGACATAGAAGCTCTGAGTGTCTTGCTTAATAAGACAGCTGGATTCCATTACCTGCTTCTGCATTCAGCCTGTTGTGAAATGATGTTTGGGTTGAAGTACAGTGAAGAAAACCTAGCCTCGCTCGGCAACCTAGTTGATAAGGGGAGGAGCTTTCTCAGATAACTGCTTCTGCTTCTTTTCACCACACCCAAACTCAACAGGTGGTAGTTTCTTAAAGCTTAACTGCAGTGTAAAATAGGCAGTCATATCAATAAACCTTTCCTGCATTTTTAGTGGTTCTTTTACCATGTATGACTTTGTAATACTATATACTGGTCATTTGGAAAATATTGACCCACTGCGTTATGCAGATATTCCAAATGCTCACGCACTTTATTTTATAATATTAAAAAAAAAAAGATCACTTTTTTTGCTGTCTAAAGTTGCTGCCAATCTCATCACACAGTCTTTAAGTACTGAGAATCTGTTAAATTACAGTGGAAGATTCAGGTTTTCCAAAATTCTAATCTTTGCTAGAAAGCTCCAGTGTTATCATTGGCAACAAACACTGTCAGTTGTTTTGCTTGAAGTGACAGGCTCCACTTCATTCATTTTCTAGAAAATATCTCCTACATACGCATTCTGAATAACTTGTTTATCTGTCTCCCCCCCCCCCAGGAAGAAATGGAATTCTGTGGGGAAGGAAAAAAGAAACCAGCTAGTTGAGGTCACAACACAGTGGCACCCACTTTTCCTTGAGGCAACAAGCTCAGGTTGGAGTCAGCAGAATCGCTTTCTGCGTGCTTTGCATTTTATCACCCAAGCTTTGAAAAAAGACATGAGAGTCAAGATTTAATAACATTTATAATTTTTCTGCTCTTTCAAGAATATCCTTAGGTGAAACTGCATGTTCTTTTCTGCAAGGGTATGACAGTGAAAAATGAATGACCACTGGTGTCACCTTTTAAAGTGAGCGTAAACTCCAGCAGTTGTACCGACCATTGCTTCTGCACCATTCGTGCAAATGTCAACACAATGAAAATGGCAAGCAACAACTTCGCGTTATTATGAAAATAGTTTTTACCTCCTAGGCTCCTTTGGGAACCATGCTTAGAACTGCTAGCTCCAGAACACTTGACAACGGGTGTATTGGTTCGCCGTCTCTGCATAACAAATCACTACTAGCTTAGTGGCTTAAAACAACACCCATTTATTATTGCACAGATTCTGTAGGTCACAGATCCAGGGAGACTCAGCTGGGTCCTTTCAGCCTCTTAAGGCTGAAATCACAGTATCAGCAGGACAACAGTCCTCACTGGATGCTCTCAGAAAGAATCTACTTCCCGGCTCACTCGGGCTGTTGGTTGAAGCTGTAGAACTGAGGTTCCATTTTCTTGCTGGCTGTCAGCTGGGGAAAGTGGGTGGGGCTGTCTTTACTCTTAGGGACTTTGCATATTTCTTCTCATGCTTTCCGTGGGGGTCCCTCCAGCACTGGTGGGTCAAGAATCTCTCAAACATTGGCTCATTTCTCTGACCCCAGCGAGAAAAAGTTCTCTGCTCTTAAGAGTTCATGATTGGATGACCGAGAGAACCCAGGATTCACTAAATTCTATAACCTTCATATCATCTGTAAAGTCCCGGTGTCATGTGACATAGTATGCTTATAGGTTGCAGGGACAGGGGCATGGACATGCTGGAGGCCGTTCCGCCTACCACGACAGGAATGCAGGGTATTGCCAGATGACTCTAAAAAAAAATGTGGGATGTTCACATACTGTAAGAGGGCTGCCCATGGAGACAGAGGAAGGTCAAGGAGCGGCAGTCAAAAGCTACCTGCTGATCTCAAATCTCTGCCCAGGAGAGCTTATTCTAAATCTGTTTGGGTATCTCCCTTTTTTGGTCTTCCCAGCACTTTATAAGTACCAACCCTGAACGAGGTTGGGGGGGCGGGGGGGGGTAGGAGTAAAGAAGCAGAAGGAAAAATACATGGTCTCTGCTACCAGAGGAGCTCACAACCTAGAGCTGCCCTCTGTTCCTGGAACTGTGGGATCCTGTTAGACCAGCAATGTTCAACCAGTGTGCTACAGAGTTTTTAAAACATGCAATACCTGACTGTTAATCAGGGGCACTGGCCTCTTTTCCCTTAGATTGTCAAATAAAAACATGACAGCACAACAATTGTCATCCGGAGTCAAGGAATCAAAATTATACCTTCGTTGTTTTTTGTTTTGTTTTGTCAGAACAGTAAAAAATAATAATATATTTTTTGGTATGCTGCAGAATTTTAGTAATTAGTTTATATGTGCCCTGAGATGAAAAAGGTTGAAAATCACTGTTAGACATATCTTACATTCCTTAACATTTAAGACATATAATATTTAAGAACTTTCTCATGAAAATGTTCTTAAATATTTGGAAGTCGAAGAGTGTGGCAGGAACAGGAACCCCAGGCTGGAAGAAAGCAGAGCTGGTCTACCTTTGTACTCTTTGGTCCTATTTTCTGCGCTCAGCGAGTGATGAGAGCTGAGGGGGGGTGGGGGGATGGGATGAGGAAGAGGAGCCCCCTTCTGGGGGGAGGGTAGCC